GATCTCTCACAATGAATATATATATAATATGTATATGTATATTAATTACATATATCGATACGCATTACATGCTAGTCATTGTCAGAGAATTATTAGCGTTCAAGAGTTTGAAGAGTTTCAAACATATGCTCACTTCAGGATTTCATCAACAATCGGAAAACGATCTTTTTTTTCTTTTCGGCCGTAATCGATAACAAATATTAACAATTTCAACGCAACAAGTACATTACATATATATTATATATTTTTATAAATATATACGATACGTAACGTTTTAATCCTTTCAACTTTCTTTCATTTGTTCTCGTTTCTTTTTTTTTTTTTTGCCTTCGAACGTACACACGATGTGAAATATCTTTGATTTAAAAAACACATCACCCAACGAAAGAACAGCATCATGTTCGTGGAAAACACGTTGTTCTACGTTTCTCTTTATTTTCCGTGGAACACCCTGAAGCGACGCAACGATATCTATTTAAAAGGTAATTCACTATACTACTTGTTTAAGTAATAAAAATAGAGATTGCATAGATTGAGATTCGTAGCGGATGCATCTAGACAGACACGTCCTATAAAAGATTTCCTTCTTGAGCTTTTTAATATAGCATGAAACATTTTACCTTTTTTATTTTTTCTTTTTTTCTTTTGTCGTTATATCTGTAATAAGTGTATAAGTGTTCAGTTTCCGTGCGCGCGCGCACGCGCACGTCACACATGCATACATGTTAATACCACTATGTGATTCGTTTGCGCGAGCATGCAGTTGCCTGTCGATTCACAGTTTTCTAGGAGAATGGAAAGATCGTTCGGCTTATTGTACGGAACAGAGGAAAAAAAATAGAACGATAATGATACGATATTATATTCCGATATGTCTAACGAAGTTCGACGTTACGTCTGCTACAGGTATCCGTGATAGTTCGACAACTGGTTTCGACAGAACGCTGCACGCTATCTGTTCCGTTCCTTTGAAAATGATACGATCCACGGTAGTCAAAAATGTCCGAAAGATTCGCTCGAGAATACTCCTTTCACCGGGGTAAATCGTAATAAACATGCCTGTAAATTGATCACGATTTTGTGCTATCTTTTTTAGACGCGACCAGTGTTCGATCACTGCGTCGCTTTATTGCAATCAACGATATGCGCATGGACCAACGTGACACGAAACTTCGTTTCCCTCCTTCATCGATTGAGTATTTTTAATTGCTTCGTGTGATGTAGCGCGCGATACTGCATACGAATGGTACAAATCCTTCTTTCGCTTTCATTACACTCTAATTATGGCTCATCCAGAACAGTGATGGGCAATTACGCTCGCGTTAGGGTGCGTTTAGCGAATGGCTCCATTTTATCCTATAAGCCATTTTTAAAGTTTCAGTCGCAAATTGCAATATTAAAGATGAACCTCGTGTAGGACAGAAATTTAACAGACTGTTAAATAAAATTCTAAAATTCACTGTGATCTGGACTGGACAGATTTGCATTTAATATATGTATCAAAACAATCACATCATTCATGGAATGGCTTAATATTTGATTTGATCGAATCGTTTGTTCTATGGACATTTACAATGATTCTTTGTATTACTTTCTTGTTCAATCCACACCTTGCAGAAAGTCTCATAAAAATAGTATTACTAGGCTTGCTAGTTTGATACGAGTCTCATATGTGACCACTTTGACCAATATGTTACAGCTCGAAATTATATACATGAATTTTTCATTTTGATCTGTTAGATCAACATTCTCCTATTAAATCTGCGAGACTTCTTGCGAAGCATGCATCGCACTAAACACACCCTTCCACAAGAGGAAAAAATCGCTTCACATGTTGCCCTAAGATCTTCAGTGGACATTTGCCCGTCACTGCTGCAGACTCGATACGATCGTGAAAAAGATTACCGTAATTTAATCAGTCGAACAAGATTCTAAGATTCGTGTCGACACGTAATTGCACCATTCGTTTCATCGTTACCGAAACCTCTCTCATTTTCCGTTTGAAATCAGCAGCGTGTACCGTTCGCGTCTCGAAACGATCCATCTTCCGTCCGCGTGTCAATGAAACGAACAGCGCACGACGGATCCGTCGAGATCGAGCCGTTAAAAACGCGCCAGATCAGCGATCCTTAGGCGTCCTTTCCAATGGAACCGAGCGTCGTCTCATCGCACCGTTGTACATCACTGCCAGCTAGCGAAAACAAATCGTTCTCGAAATGTTCGAGCCCACCGGCTTGCGCGGCGAGCACCGTCAATCAGAGAACATTCTCTCTGGCAGGGCCGTTCGTTTTCGTCGAATTAACTCGATGTACTCTGAAACATTCTGCAAAGACGATTTCCTCGATTAGGATATCTTCGATTCGTTCGGCTGATCGGTGAATTGAATTGCAAATCGATGTTGGGTAACGAGTGGGCGAATTAAAACGCAAACACGGATTTATGGGGCGTGAGTCGTACACCGTGGACTTGGATTTCGGCCATTTTGTTGTTGAGCGTGGGAAGGTGGGATTTGGGGATTGAGGTGGTTCTAAATTAGTGGGTTTGATATTAGGAATTTGGGGTTTTAGAGATTTGGATATTTGATGGTTAGAGAAATTTGAGATTGGACACTTAGAAATTTGGGGATTTAGAGATTCGAGAGAGTGAGAATTTAGGGATATATAAATTTGATAGTTTAGAGATTTGGAAATTTAGAGATTGAAGAATTTGGAAATCTGGGACGTTCTTTTGGAGGGAATTCGGAAATTTAGATACTACAAATTTGGAGACTTGAAATTTGGGACTTTGAGGATCTAGGTACTTGGGAATTAGTGGCAATGAACGCTCATTAACGAGAAAGGAAAATATCAGGAGAGACACATCACCTCTTCACTGAAGATCTTCCTCGCACTTGGGAATGTCAAATATCTCGGCAAAGAGAGGTGGTAATTTGAGCTTGGTCCAGTTCCTTCTGAACCAATCGAGGAGATTCGCGTGTCTGGCACCCAGAGCTCTCAATTCTGGTATCCTTTGTGAAACGCTCGAGACACCGGAACAGCCACCCGCCGAGGTAGCCTCACCGGAAACCGTGTGATTTCGTAACGCTTGAACCTTCAACGCTTCCAGAAGACGATCCTGAAGCCTTTGCACCGCCTTCACGTCGTTCAGGCCTGGTCTCTCGCCCAGGAGTACAGCACCGGAGAACAGGCCCAACTCCGTGTCCGATAATTGGTGGGCGTTTAGGGCCGATGTGAATTGCATCAAAGCGGACACAAAGTCTGGCTGTTTTGTTTCACATCGATCGATTAATCAGTTGTCTCGTTTCATTCCATGAAAACGACTTTAATTAGTACATGATACTAACGTATATATCGTATTAGTACGTGATACTGACATATGTATTAGTATGTGATACTGACATACGTATTAATATGTGATACTGACATACGTATTAGTATGTGATACTGACATATGTATTAGTACAAGATAATACAGTATGTGAGGTATTAGCATGAGATGATATTAACACACTATGTGAGGTGTTAGTACAAGATAATATATGTTGCAAGGTATTAGTACATGATCACATATGTGTGACACACTAGTTTAAGATAATATATACATGTGATTAGTATAACATTATGCGAGGTATTAGTACAAGATATTTAGATGTAATGTGAGGTGTTAGTAGAAGATGATATTCGCATACTATGTAAGCTATTAGCTAAAGACAGAACATACTATATGATGCTAACATATTAGTACATAATGATACTATCATTAGTACATTATTAACAATCTAACAGTTCTGTCGTCCATTTTGATTAATGAGTTATAACAGAATATCAGTCCACAAAAATATATCAAGAAACGTGTCTATCTTGAAGTACTATATTTGAGAAGTGTACTAGTAAAGTAATTGCAAAGTAGTTAAAGATGTTTACCTCGTACATCAATTCCATTTGCTGCCTAGTGATACAAGTGCCATCCTCGAAGGTCATGGAGCTGTCGGTGGTCATTTTCGAGATGTGGCTAAGCCAGACCTCGAAAAAACCGACCTTGATCAGGATCAGCTGATCGTCCTGCGAAAGATCGCAAAATCCTGGCACCCTTTTGGCAAACTCCACCACCCTCTGCACGGATGGCGTCACTCTGGTGGCGAATTGTTGCCAAAGCCAGATCCTTTGCGATTCGACAGTTTCCGCCGTCGAGGATGCCGCCTCTGGGTCCTCTGGACTGGCCGGCTGCGAAGAAGTACTCGCCTAATCAGCATTATAAAAGAAACAGGCTGGTTGCTGCCAGTTCCAGTACGAGTTCTCATTGCCACTCTAAAGGCTGCTTCACAAGCTGAAACGTGTTGCGATACACCGACTGTTGCATTTGTATCAGTTTATTTTCACTTTACTGATTCTTTAGTTTCATTTTGATACAATTTGATATCTACATCGATGCAAGCATTGCCAAATATAATTCACAAATATAACTACACGTACATTGCAACTTAATTTTACTTTTAGACTTGATATCTTTTGATACTCAGTTTGATACTCAATTTAATTTGATACTTTTGGTACTTTGATTCTGGCTAGCTCCACATGTCATAATTTCTGTTACTATCAATATCTACTGATTCTAACATCATGTGACTTATGATGATTCCATTGTGCATTCGCTTAGAACAATTCTTTATTAAAATACTTCCAAGTGTCATCAAGTACAGTTACTCAGAAGACGTAGGAGTCGACGTGGGAGTCGCAACACGTTCCGCAGAGCAGACCTCGCATTAACAATTTGTAAATTTCTTTCTCTGAACTTACCGGTATTATCATCGGTTTCCTGACAATTCCTCTCGTCGATTCTTCAGTGAAGCCACAATGAGCGTGATGCGCCTGGGAGACTTGAAGTATCACGTCGTACACAGCCAACTGTTTCACGTCTGCGTCTGACTGATCCGCTTCCACCACTGCGGCTGGTGGCACACACGGTATGGCGTTTTGACCCTGGCCGCTGCTGTTGTTGTTATTTTGACTGGTGTTGTTGTTGTTATTATTGTTATTGTTGTTGTTGTTATTGGCAGCGCCGGGAGAGGTTAACTGTTGGACACCCGTGGTCGCTGTCGTTGTCGTGGTGGTCGGGACAGCGTCCTCGGGACCACGTTCCCTTGAACGCTTCGGCACTCTGCCGTATCTTACAGCTGAAAGTGAATTGCAATTCAAAATTTCGATTTTTTAGATCGTAGTCGAATTATGGAATGGGTATAAGTTTTATGCGAATCCTCAGTTTTGAATCTTCATGAGAAATACTATGCGGAGCATCCTCGAATTTACCCCTTGTTTAAACTTTTCATTTAAAAACGATCTTGAAAGCAATTTACAAAGTAAGTACCTAGACCACAACTTCTTTACAACCGAGTAAAGAAAATTCAATTTCACACTTTTTAATTTACTTTGCAAATTAATTTCATTATAACTTTAAATGTGGTGTTTTATTTCTACGCATGAAACGTTAATTATTAACAATCGAGTTGTACAATAATTTAACGTTGGAACAGGCATAAAACTCTTTTCTTGAACAGAGGCAAAAGTTTCTAACTTTTAAAGAGGGACATGTAACTTCTCTTTACCCTTATCGTGACTCCGGCTAAATGATATAGGTCATTAACCCTTTCGCTAGCGAAAGTAAATCTATAACACTTCGCAGGGAACCGTGATTGAACCATGACTTTGAGCACGGTACGAAGGAAAAGAAAGGAATAATCATCCGAGACGAAAGTTTTCCATGCATCCCCTAGACTCATTAATCATTTCGAGTTCGAAACTTTTTTTAAAGTAATCGCGAATAAATTTCTGCTCCTCTCGCTACGTTTCTCGTGTAGATAGATTGTGAAACGCATTTGCATGCGCGATCACGAACAGAAAGTTGATTCAAGTTACCTGAGATAAAGGGCTACATAAATTAATTCTTCTATGATGAATATTCGCTAAACGAAACTACAACATCATTAGTGGGTTATTGTAACTTTTACAATACAAAGAACTTTTTTTATATAGATTGTAAACTCCTTGGGTCTCCAGTGATTTTTTATAATAAAACTACGAGGTAGAAAGTAGGTAAAGAGCTTCAAATAAGATATTTATTTCAATAAAGAAATTCTGAAGGAAAACGCAAGTTTGAAGCAGCAATATTTTGACGATAAATCTTGAGATATTAACGCGACGGGGTAGAACAGCGATGCCTCGAAATTTAATATTTGACAGCGTTCATCGGGAGAATCGGGTCGGATAATAAGGGATGCAACTTTTCCCGAGTTTTGTTCCGGTCACTTTCATCGCGTCCGCTTCTTAAGCGGATCATAAGACCGCGGCCAGCTTATTACGATTTCCTCGACAATACGAGAGCGAAAAGCTCCGACGGTTGCCTATTATACACGGCTGCATATTGCACGATGAACTTTGACGTTTAATTATGCACGCGACTTCCCTTTCAGAGTTTACTTTGCCCTCTTGGTCGTCCAAGGAAATTCCGCGAAGTATTATAAAAGATGCCGCGGTAACCGACGCCCGATATAAAGAGTACATCTTTATTTCGTTTATTAAATTTATCGTATTCGGAATTTCAGGAATTCCAGCAATAATCTGGAGGAAACCAATCACGGAGGTCTATACTCGAGTGTGTATCTGTCAAACTTTCCAGCGATATTTCAACGAAGGGGTTTTTATTTCTCGTTTTCGGACAGAAATAAATTTCTCGACACGAAATTCATTAACTCATCGCTGTCAAGCTATTCGTTAAAGTAATACTCTCGTATTTTCAATACGTTTAATGCTTCGTTATATTCAATTAAAGATATGGAAAATGCGTTTTCGCGTACGTTCTCCATCAATGTGTACGAAAGGATATTGATTAAACAGATGTAATTTGGGCGTTTCCCCGATAGACATATACCGTTCAAACATCGTTACTCGTTCATACGAAATTCTTCTATTTATCGTGTATCGCAGGAAAATTGCTTTTGTAATATACTTATGTTCCACGTTCTTTTATCTTATTCGCTTTGAAATAAAATCGTTTGTATCTTTGTGTTTCGAATGAGCACCGCAGGCTACGGTTCTCCATATACAACACAAGCAATGTTACAATGTTAATTCGAAGGGAATTGTTCATTGTAAAATCGTAGTATAAATTCTTTTAATTAAATGGTAAACCAGACAGTAACCAAAGTTGTAATGTTTAAGTTTATATTTAATATTTTAATGTTTAATATTCGAAGAGAATTGTTCGTTCTAAAATTGTAGCATAAATTCTTTTAATTAAATGGTAAATCAGACAGTAACCAAAGTTGTAATGTTTAAGTTTATATTTAATATTTTAATGTTTAATATTCGAAGAGAATTGTTCATTCTAAAATTATAGTATACATTCTTTTAATTAAATGTTAAATCAGACAGTAACCAAAGTTTTAATGTTTAAGTTTATATTTAATATTTTAATGTTTAATATTTGAAGAGAATTGTTCGTTCTAAAATTGTAGTATAAATTCTTTTAATTAAATGGTAAACCAGACAGTAACCAAATTTAATGTTTAAGTTAATCATTTAACTTTGTAGTAGTTGAGAACCTCCAATTGGAGAGAATTATTCATTCTAAAATTGTAGTATAAATTCTTTTAATTAAATGTTAAACCAGAGACAGTAAAGTTTTAATGTTTAAGTTAATCATTTAACTTTGTAGTAGTTGAGAACCTCCATATTAGGGCAACGGTGACCCAGACAAGAGAAAGCGTGTTGAAAAGTTGGAAAGACAAAGTGAATTGTTACTTACAGTCCCTGGACATGCCGACAGCTAGGCACTTCTTAAATCTGCAGTACTGGCAGCGGTTCCGATTTAATCTGATGACAAGACACTTGCCGTCCCTCAGACACCTGTATTCTATTTGCTTCTGAATGCTTCTCCTGAAGAAACCCTGTGCAAAAAGTTAAACAACGTGGTTAGACCTCTTTGCTTCCTATGCGAGTTTTGTCCACGTACGATTATCAAGATGAAAAATTCACATCGTGATCCGTTGTCGACGTTCTTTTCGCAATTACATAAGTTGTTTAACGCGTTAGATTTTGCGCGTCATTTATTCGAATGACGAGTTAATTCGTCGTAAGAGGCTAGAGGTATCGACCCAGCTTTCGAGGAAACGGAATGAATACTCGCACGATCGACGATTAATTTTCCCCGTCGCGGCGTGGATTTAGGGCTCGTAAAAGTGTCGTTCGCGGGGAGAAAGGACAGGGGAAAAACGAGCTTTCCAAAACACCAAGACAGTCCCATATTGGCTGTACCATGCCTTTCTGGGGGTGGACGTACTTCACTGATTTATGCGACTCGATCCTTTTATCGCTTTCACATAAACGCACGGTAAATAAAGTGCGGGATTTTACGGGGAATGGAAATATGCGGACAAGTGGGAGCGCACTTTTCAGATGGAGTAATGAAATTTTATATAATTGAGAGATGGGGCGTTGGAGGATTGGGATTTAGGTATTTAGAATGTAGGAATATGGGATTTGAAGAATTTGGGATCTGGGGAGATTGGGATTTGGGGAGATTGGGATTTGGGGAGATTGGGATTTGGGGAGATTGGGATTTGGGGAGATTGGGGTTTGGAGAGATTGGGGTTTAGGGAGATTGGGATTTGGAGAATTTGGAATTTAGAAATTTGGGAATTAGAAATTTGGGAATTAGGGAATCGGGGAATTAGAGAATCGGGGAATTAGGAATCGGGGAATTAGAGAATCGGGGAATTAGAGAATCGGGGAATTAGGGAATCGGGGAATTAGAGTATGGGAATTGGGAAATTTGGGAATTGGGAAAATTGGGAATTGGGGAATTGGGGAATTGGGGAATTTGGAAATTGGAGAATTTGGGATTTGGGGAATTTGGGAAATTGGGGAATTTGGGGGATGTAGAGGTTTGGGAAATTTGCTAACTCAGAAAATTTGAACACGCAGGAATTTGGGAATTTACAAACTAATCGTTAAACTTATATTTAACGATTTAGAAATTTAGGAATTCGAAAATTTGACAACTTGGAAATTTTTGAATTAGCAAATTTGAAGTCTATCAACATAAAAATTGTCCAAATCTACAAATTCAGAAATTGCAAACTACAGCGTTTAATCTCGTTCAGAGCAATACATCAGAGTAATTTGTTATCGTGGCCATTAAGGTATCCAGCGTTACTAACAAATGATCGCGAAAGTTTGGAAAATTTATAGCGTTATCGAATTACACGGCGCAAGAAATCGATAAAACAAGCAATTTCCTGATTTCATGCTAGTGCACACGCAGCAGGAGCTAGGAGGCTGATATCCTGGCATCGGGTAGCGTAGGAAAACGGACCGTGCTTATCTGCAACGAGTAGGAAGCGAATCTCGCGTAATTAATTTAAAGCCAAGACTGTACCACTCTGCAGATTCAGTCCTTGCTTTTCATTTCCGAGTCGATTACCATCCAACTGCACAGCTTCTGAATTATCTCGAGTGTTTTCTGATGGCGAATGGGTTTCGATGAAAAATTTTGTACTGGGGGATCGATCGGCTAACTGATCAAGGAAATCAATGTCAAGCAACCACTTTTATCGTATTATAGGATATGATCACTTTAAATCAATTCTGATATAAATTGATCCATTGCTACAATGTGAAAATCAATATTGAAAATTAAAAAGTTATGTGTGGTTTATATTTAACGATCTTTGAGTATGAAGACTATAATTAGAAATAAACAATAAATTCAATTGTGATGAAAATAGTAGTCTGATTTATCAAGTGTGAACTGTAGGGTGCGTCACGAGTACAATTTGAGGATCTTCAGACCTAAATGTTTACCAACTACCTAATTTAGAAATTAAAAAATTCCCAAATTATATAGATCAAATAAATATATAAAAATTCAAAGTCTAAAAAATCATAGAAGCTTGAAAATTCCCTATCCAAAACTGACCTAATCATGAGTTTCAAAAATTCACAATATAAATATCCTCAATTATTATGAAACATCCCCTTCCTCCCCAAAGTCAGATGACCTAATTACGAGTTTAAAAAATGGCAATATATATATCCACAATTATTATCGAACATCCCCTTTCTCCCCAAAGTCAAATACATTAAAAATTCTCGAAACAGCACTCGCATACAAGCGATCCATAATTGATCGAGGTTTGTCGTCACAAAGTAACTCGGAGAACGATGAATGAAGTTCTCCTTGAAAGGACTTAATTGTAACGTGTGCGCGAATGTAATATACCGAGAGTGTAGGAGGTTGTAGAGACACGCGCGTAAAGAGAATACGCAGAATGCAGAGGTTAGGTGGAAATTAACGAAGCGAGGGGTCGACCGGGAGCCGTGTTTCAGCGGCGAGTCGGGGTTGACCTCGTTGCCGTGGCCAACAGAAACGGCTCGTTTAATAAGCGACGTATTATGATTAATGTGCCCGGGGTAGAAACGACCCGACGGAACTTTCGTACGTAGCCTCCGCGTAACGTAGCTTCCGCGGGCTCTTTGCTGAGCACAAAAGAGGCCAACCGGCGTTGAATTGAGATTAATGCTCGATAATTAATAAAAGCCGCACCGCTTAAAGTGTTGCAACACGCGGGAATCGATCCGGCTGGCAATTTTCATCGGCTCGACGATTTTAAACCGCTTCCACCGTATCGAGTGTTATTCTAAACCGGGATCGACTTATTTAGCACGGTGTACGACGCCTAAACTGGAACGAACGGATCGAGATAATTCGTTGCTATCAAATTCATTTTCGGATAGGGTGTTTATTATACGTATGCTGCTTTTATGGTCTACGCTGTCCGCTAATGGAATGTTTATGGACTTTAATATTTAGAGACTTTGAAATTTTTTAGTTTCTTAATACTTTGCCTTGTGACGTACTTGTGATGCACTCGTGATGCATTCATGACATATTCATTACGTGTCTATGACACACTCGTGACACACTCGTGACGCACCAATGATGTACTTGTGACACACTAGTGACGCACTTATGATATGGCCATGAGGTACCCGTGACGCACTCATAACGCAATCGTGATGCACTCATGACGCACCAATGACGCACCAATGACGCACTCGTGACACACTTGTAACGCATTTGTGACGCACCCGCAATGCACCCTAATTATTAAAATTTTTAAACTCCCAAATTCTGAAATTTTCAAATCCTTGCATCCCCAAATCCCTTCATCCCCAAATCTCTGAATCTCCAAATATTTAAATCTCCAAATACCTAAATTCACAAATCAATACGTCCCCAAATTCTAAGGTCCCCGAATTCCAAGGTCTTTAAATTCCAAGGTCCCTAAATGTATAAGTTTCCAATTCCTGCATTCCCAAATTTCTCACACTCCCAAATTCCAAGGTCCCCAAATTCCAAGCTTCCCAAATTTCTACGCCTCCAAATTCCTGCATCCCCAAATTTTCCACGTCCCCAAATTTTCCACGTCCCCAAATTTTCCACGTCCCCAAATTTCCCACGTCCTCAAATTCCCACATCCCCAAATTCCAAGGTCCCCAAATTTCAAGGTCCCCAAATTCCAAGGTCCCCAAATTCCAAGGTCCCCAAATTGCAAGGTCCCCAAATTCCAAGGTCCCCAAATTCCAAGGTCCCTAAATTCTTGCATCCCCAAATTTCTCACGTCCCCAAATTTCTCACATCCCCAAATTCCAAGGTCCCCGAATTCCTACATCCTCAAATACCTAAATTCCCAAATCCCTAAATCCCTAAATCCTTAAATCCCCAAATTCCCACATCCCCAAATCCTCAAATTCCTAAGTCCCTAAATCCCCTCAAAAGCACTCCCCCTCGCAAATACCCAAAACAGCTTTGAAAACAGATATCAACCTCCCTGCTACATTTCAATATTTAACAAAATACCTCCATTTCATTTATACAATACCATTACATCATCTCATTTTACAAAAATGCAGCATACGATAACACGATTCCGCTTTTATAATACAATGGTTTTATTTTACCGTTTGATTAAAAAAAGGGTATTACATGATGGATGAATTTCCAACCGACCGGTGGTTACGATCACGTTAAAAATTCCGATATTGCTTTTATTTTAGTCTCCATAACCGCAGATTTATTATGACCTGCAAACCGAAACCAAAAAACCGAATTCGGTGGACGTATAATAACTTTATCGAAACGTTCGTGTCGGAATCAGTCCTAATTCTTCGACGTATCGACACGAGGAGAATGAATGCGGTTACAGAAAGAAATACACCTTTCACTGATTTATACATACTTTATTTACACGATTTCGCTTTTACACGGGGTTTAAAATATTGGGGTCAAAAATAATCTGGTAAAAATGAGCATTTTTACAATGCAAGGAACTTTTATATTTTAGAGTTCATTCAGTTTTGTCGTGAAACTTTTATCGTCATATTTTTGATATTTTTCTCGTTGCGATGAGAACGAACACGAGTTAAATTATATTTATTAGTTTAATTAATTTTTATTTATACTATTTCAAGTCACTCGATTTCCATTTACAGAATTTCTACTTTTACGATTTTCATTCCCACGATTTCCATTTCTAGAATTTCTCCTTATACAATTTTTATTTCCTCACCTTCACACGATCCGAAATTGCACCGTTTTCTGAGAACCCATCTCCACCGTAAATCTCCAACGTAAAATAAAGGTTGAAAGAAAGGAAAAAAAGAATATAGAAAAGCTATAAACGAGATCGGTTGAAGAGTCTTCTGGGGACAGTGTATATCGGAATGATGAAGCAACGAAAATAATGGAAGAGACTCGTAGGCGTACTCGACTCGTCTACGTATCGGTTTATTGGTCTATTACCGACGATATTAATTAATGAAAGCAGACTGCGACGGTGCGTTGCATCGACGATGCATATCCGTCGGTCTAAACGATGAGGATAGA